TACACGCTTCTTTCAGGATTTAGTCGTTTCCTCAGGAAAAAACATCGAATCCTTGCAGGATCTTGATCCTATCTTCCAAGGATCCGGGGCCGAAACATCAAAGATTTTCCCTAGGGAAGTTATTCAGAAGATTAAAGATATCAAAAATGGGCAAATTTATTTTGTCAATTATGGCTTTTCATTCGATGATATCACAATCAAATTAAAAAAAAACCGAATATTATTTATCAACAAGCCAAAATGGTTTTATAATTCCCAATTTTTCAGCTATAAAATCAAGTATCGATTATCATAACATGACCATGACTAAATTACATAATGAATTGAAAAAAAAACGTATTTATCCAAAAGATATTCCAAGTCATTTTCAACTTGAAAATTTATTAAAATGTGCACAACAATTTGTCGAAGTATTGAAGAAGCCAGAACCAGAAAAAAACATTATTCATCTTTATACAACTGAAGCACCTTATTATTATAAAATAATTAATGATATTCTTAATTTATTAGATGAAGATTTAATTGTAATCATTCAAGATTATGTCAAAGCATTACGATATTCTCTAATAACCTATGAGGATGCATCAAACAAAATGCCTGCTACAAACAATGTCAAGTTATACCGAGGCATATCTTTGGCACAAGATAATAGTTTCGCAGAATTTTCAAGAAAATTTAAAATTCATGATACCATTATTTTTCCAGCATTTTCATCGACTAGTTTGAATAAAGATCGAACAAGATCTTTTATTAAGGGAAAGGGTGTATTATTGGAAATTTCAGCTGATTGTTCAAAATTGAATAAACCAAAAAATATTTCTGCACAATCAGAATATCCAAGTGAAGATGAAGTCTTATTGAATTGTTTCAGTATATTAAAAGTCGAGAATATTACCACAATGAATGATGATTTATTATGCTATAAATGCACATTGGAACTACGTTAAGTTTTACCTTTATTATTTATACCTGATTACTGCGCCTATTATTTTGATTTTTTTAGTCAAGAAGTTGAATACGTTTTTCGCTTGACTTTTTTCTTACATAATAAACTTCAAAGAGTATAAAAATTATGCAGGAACAGAAATAAAATTTTCCAAGAAATTGTTGTTTCACTTGCAAATAGTATAAATTAGAAGTCTATGAATACTAATGCCACTAGCATACGCAAAAGATAAGGACTACATAAAATCTTTTTCTCATACATAAGCATATCTTCGGGTGTTAGAATTACAGCATTCAGCTACATATTGAACTACCGTGTAATAAAGAACATAAGGATGCACCACAAACACGTAAAAATAGAGAGGATATATGAGTTTCAAAATGTTAAGATCTCGGAATTGAAATAGTCAGATCACGGATGAGGGTGAGGGTGCCTGAGCTACTATATAGGGTGGGTAAAAATATTATTCCAGAGGGGTAACGCTATAATTTCAAATAGAGTAAGTAATGAATTTTATATCAAATGAAAGCTCGTCGAAAACGGGATTTATTGGTATTAAATAGTAAGAGTTATCAACACTTTTTAATGCCGAAATTAATAAACTTTCAGAAATTTTATCCTTTTGTGGCTTAGAAAATTAACGCGCTAGTAATTCAAAAATGATGTAAACATTTTTTGGTGGATATTTTTACATGAATCGATGGAGCTCGTTGAGCTCTACAAAACTGTATATATTAAAATATTTTAAGTCATTTTTCTGAGATAATTAATTCAAAAAACTACTTCGAAAATCTTGAAAATAGTTAAAAAAACTCATTTTTTTATATGGAAAAAAAAGACTCGATTTTTCAATAAAATTAGCTTTTTTCATTATTTTTACAACTGCAGACGCTTCGAAATATACTGATCAGATGCAGCGTGGAAAACTACGTCTAATGAGTATATTTCGAAGTGTCTGTAGTTGTAAAAATAATGAACAAAGCTAATTTTATTGAAAAATCGAATCTTTTTTTTTCATATAAAAAAATGACTTTTTTAACAGTTCAAGATTTTCCAAGTAGTTTTTTGAATTATTTATCTCAGAAAAATGGCTTAACCCTTTGAGTCCGGGATTTTTTTTTAAAACTAAAAATATTTATAATTTCAAATCAATGTTTATTTTTGAAAATATGACCAAATACATAATTCAGAACACTTTCAGAGTATGATAATGTTT